AAATGTGAAATGAAACACAATGAAATACAAATATTCATAAAAAACATTTATTACTCGATAAATATAAAATGAGCACTTGTAATCGCAAAACTGAATCAAATATAAATTGTAACGAGATTTTTGTACACAGAGAGCATCGAAGCGAAAATAAACAAGTATGTGAAGAGACGTAATAAAAAGTCAATGCTTCTAAAAAAAAGGTTTGAAAACTCAAGCAAACAAATATAATTAAAATTAAATTCAATCATGCCTTTGCAATATAGATTCTTTGTAACTATAAATTATATTAAACAATATTATTTCTCATAGAGAAATAAAAGTTGTAGAGGAAATATAACTTGTCATATGCACAACGCTCGCACGTATGCTTTACACGCACCGCATATAGGAATGATTCAATTAATCATAGCATTTTAAACTACCTGAATGCTTCATCCATTTCATAAAATTGAAAATTAATGTAATAGGAAACTCGACATAAGGCTGATAAAGAATTCATCTAAATTCTTAACATTGCATGACACCAACTGGTGTATTTTTCTTCATATTTTTAATAATATCACATAGAGTAGTTATTCACATGGAATATTTCAATCGCGTTTTGATGTAAGTTTTAAAAATTCTAATGTCATCAGAAGCTCGTATGGATCAGTAATATATCTCTTTTAAGTACATTAAATTAGAAAAAACATAATCGCTTAACGAGGGATCCTAATAAAAAGAAAATATGTTTAAATAACTACTAGTGTTTTCGTCTCTGGTCATAAATATTTGAAAATATTAGTTTGTAAACTAAGTGCTCACGTTTATTTGTTATTTATGTTATTTGTTTTTTCATGGAAATTATTTAATTGACCAGGAAATGTTTTGTATGGTTCTCCTTATAATAAGAAATAAACGCAAATACTTAGTTTACGATCCGATGTATAATACACTTCTTCTAGGAAAAGATAATATTAGAAGCATAAATTTCATAAAATTACACTATGATCGATGTGCCTCATTAGATCCATACTGTGATTTTATTTTTGATTTTCACTATAGTGAATTTCTACGAATATTGCTATAAGTAGACAAAATGGTAAGAGACTCTTTCTTTACGAAGTAAAAGGTACTTGTCTCGATCTACTCATAAATTAGGAAAGTTTTAGGAAAACACTTTATAGACTAGAGGATCCCACAGACAATGTAATGTACAATATAGACATTATTTTCAATGGGACTTACAAGTCGTTTCACATTATGCAAAACGTATGCACAGAATGAAGGAATTCTACTTATACTTTGTTGAAGATCTAAACTGCATGCGTTCTCTCCGTACAACCCTACTTGTAGTATTAAAAGGGTATAGACTGATTGATAGACACGTGTAACGATGATCAGGATACCTCTAACTGATGAAGATTGGGAACTCACTACGAGGTAAGAGGTTTTTTCATAGAGCTTTGACCAAATAGCATTTAATTGCGCTAAAAGACCACCAGCAATAATTGCGCTAAAATGGCCGATTAAGCGTACCTTCACGAGATTTTGTTTCTCCACCAAGAGAATTTCATTTTCGGGCTTAAATACTGAAAACTGATTACCGTTTGGGGGATCAATGATAAAATTGGTAAAAAACTTCCACAGCTGCGACTTTTTGGTTCCTCATCTAGCGGTTCTGTTACAGTTTCGCTTATAATATTACGATGAGGCGTGGAATATGGATACGGTGTTGACAGTGGATTACAAGTAATATGTACCTCTCCCATATTCCACTTATTCTGGGTGTCGTTCGATTCGATTCCTTGTGTGGTCGCAGAAAGATATGAGAAAGGTACCTCTTTATCTGTGAAAGTGATGGAACAATTAGAAATGTTAATTATTCGATTATTTGATGCCAGGTTGTTACTTCTACAATGATTCTGTGTAGAATTATCTAACGTGGAGTTCGATAAGTTCATCGATTTCAAAGACGCTTTCCTATAAACTTTCGATCGTGTAAGGGGTTTAATTGTTAGCTGTGGCGATGATACTGATCGTATAGAGCGGGTATTATTATCTTTATAAATATCCATATTGTTTTGTGTAAATTGACAATCATTACCGTCTATATTTAAGCACTTATTCTTTACAGATATGTCAGGATTTATACGGTAAGGAGTGGATGTAAGTGGACTTACAGGTTTTACGACGTTCGACACAGTAGTTTCTCGGGTAATCATAGAATTTTGTATAGTGCACTCATTCGATTTTGTTTCATTATTATGTTTTATGTACTGATTAGATACAACACCATGTTTTTTGTAAGCAATATCAGATTTTAATATACGTTTTGTAGATTCGTTTCGTTTCTTTGTCTCATTTACGAATTCAGAAAGAGAAGAGAAGTTTTGAGGAAGGACAGGGGTGGTGTTGTTAGCATGCGCTTCATTTGCTCCTAATTGGTTAGGACCAAATGAAGCGTCCATGAACCCTCAGCTCGGGAATCTTGAATAAAATGCGCAAGTCAAATCGTAATTCTTGAAACGGCAATACTGAACGTCTGTACGCAGCCAATCGCTAGAACATTTCAGATAGTCAGTTTGCTCCAGGTCACGAGGACAAGTAGCAGCCACAGACTCTTTGTTAGCAAAGATGGTGACAACGAATTTTTTCGGTTTAAATGTATTCAGCACACGTCGTATTATCTCCTCGAATGATGTTTCTGGAATGTTACTCTCAAATGATACATATGAGAATTCCGACTCTGGAGTAATGTGGATAGTCATATAATTTCCCTGCAATACACACACCATTAGTTTTGTGCCTCAAGCTATAGAAACTAATGCGTTCACTGTCAAACCAACAACCATATATATTTTAGAAAATAATTTGTAAAGTCATTCATTTAATGAACTGAAAAGCAAAGCATCAAAATTTATCTGATGATTAGTCTTTCAACCTAATTGTATTTTGTAGATCCTAATTTAATACATGAATACAGAAATTAACTGCTAAGTCTGAACAAATGTTGTCACATTACATCTATATATGAATGATAAGACAGTCAACACTTTAGGTATTCTGAGTGCTCATTATGTATATATATACTTACACTTTTGTTCACTCCATTCATTGAATACCCACATGGTTCAAACAAGAAATCATCTATAATCATATTTGGAATAAGTTTGTCGATTCCTGATTTTTGAGTTGCCTCATCTGCTGAAGAACACACATCCCTAGTGAAGATAGCCATCACTTCAGGATCTAAATGTGTCATAAGAATCTCAAGAGTTTGATCTGGTTCTGCAGGTTCATCGGTAACTTTTTCTCTATTCAGAGTATATAAATACCAACAATCTGAATCTACAGACCCCAGACAATATGCTTCTCCATCTACAAAAACAAACAAATGTAGATTATTAACATCTGTTTTTAAAAAAATATTTTAGATTTAAAATTGTTTTTCATTTTATTAGTAGTAATACATAAATATATTTAATTAATGATTAAAATAAAGAAATGCCCAGACTAATCCAATGTATGCAGGTATTTTTCATTTTTCTTTTTTTTTAAATTGGAAATATAAAAAGAAATCTAACTATGCTACGCGATAGAATAGAATTTTGTCTCGCAAAAGGTGGTAACAGAATTTGTAAATTTCGTTTTGTTTCGAAAGGTAGCAATTTGAATAAGTTGAATGGCAGGGAAGACGATCGTTGCGCCAACGTCAAGTACCATCGCCAACGCGTCGGAATTCGCACACTTTGCCAAACAATTTAGTTTCTGTATTAAAAACAAAACTTAATTTCGGACTTCCATTAATGCCTTTTATAGAACAGTAATTCGCTTTGCTATATAATGTAATTAGATTTTTTGCGAAAATTGACGCGTTTAAAGCACCTTTTTCACTTTAATCATTGTTTAAACACCTTTACATATTTAAAATATAACATAAAATCATATCATGCCGTTTACAAGAATTCAGAGAATCATTTTATGTGAAATAAAAAAGAATAACTATCATTACCGAAACTAAATGATATTTTTGAGTTGAAGAATTTGCATTTTTGATATGCATTAAATCATCTTATAAATGAAAAACAGAAAACATATAATTACCAGGAAAGAATGTATCAAGCACAGCAACTTCTTTTTCGAATGCTTGATGTGGAGATATCTGCAACTCTGGCTTCTTATAATTCTTCCTTGAGTAGAACACATTCTAGAACAAACAGAAGCTACATGAAGTTTAAGTTCATTTTTCCATTTGAATTTTATGTTCTTTTTCTGATAGATTACTATCTAGTAAATAAAATTACATTAAAAATGGTGTTTGATGACATACATTAGTAGATAGGGCAGGTTAAAATACAATTATTAATGATTTTTAACAAATGTATTCCATGTACAGTATCATAGGTAAGAGAGATCAATAAACCAAGAGGTAGAGATGTATCCTGTATACTAGAGGTTTCCTATATATAGACACATCACTTATCCATGCACTAGGTCAAGTTATATAGCTAAGTACTTTTGACTTCAAATGGTCTGTAGTTAATGAAAATTTCTATGGGTGAAACTTGTAAAACTGTAATACCCCACTATCTATGTGTCTTATTGAATTTAGAATGCAATAATTATTTTCAATATTAACTAACAATTATCTTATCAAGAAGCAAGGATTTTACTGATATTTAACAGATTTTTAGATTATATATGTACATGCATTAATTATAAATAAACAATACAAACTTCCACTTCCTCAAAGCCAGTGTATTCTTTTACAAGTTCCAAAAGTGGTTCCAAGCATTGAAGGGGTGTAGTTGTACCACATGTCTTCAGAATAAGCCTACGCTTTGATAGGAACATGCTGCTTTCACTGGAAAAACAAAAAGATGCGCATATAATTTTTAATATAATTGTTACATATTGCTTAAGTGGTGCTGATTATTAAAAGCATTTAATTTTACATATTCATATGTATGTATTACTACACTTACAGCAATTGTTGAATCAAATTTCGACATAAAAATTTCATTGTTAAGTAATAAATTACAGTACTGCAATTGACAAAATCTATTAACATATTTAAATACAAATCAAGATCAAAGTTATCAGTTATATGGAAAAATGTTTTTTAATTTCTATTCAAGTTTTCATTGAATTAAATCAAATTTGTAATAGCATGATAATATTGTATAAAACTTCAATGAATAAATATGTAGTGAGCTAAAAATGCAAAAATTTTATCTGTTTCATTAGCAACAATTCCAGCCTAACCAAATTAAAAATTGCAAAACATTTGAAATATTTTTTATAAATTTATATTTAATAAATAATTTAAATAAATAAATTTGTATTTGTTTCTTTTCTTTCTCTTTGTTAAGATATTGAAGATATAAAATTAAAAAGAGAGAAATGAGGTTCAAATAAAGTTATCTTCCATCAAAACAATTTCAACAAAAAGGTAGTTTCGATAATAAATGTCCCTAAAAAATAATTTTATCGGAAATAATGAAGGTTATCACAGCCGTTTCCTTGGCCTCTACTGTAATATTATTTTTAGCTACAAATTTAGACGATATTAGGCGCGAATACAAATAAGTCGAAATTCAATGCATGTACAAATTTTCATAAATATCAAATGGAACGTGATAACGAAACAACTATTAATAACTATAAAAGAAGGGATCTCTTCTAAAATATCCTACACGCTTTAAGGGGTTATTGATATTTTGTACAGACAATGACCCTAGATTTTCTATGTATAAATGACAAGATAAACGAAAAGCACGAGGCATTTTATTAGTGGAAAATAAATACATACATACATGTATACATGTATGTATAACGATAAGCAGAAAACAGATAACATGGTAAAGTACAGTGACCACGTACAAGATGCTGATTGGAAACGATAAAATGCAAATAAAAACGAAGAAATGCTCCCGGTTCCTTCCTGAACATGTGACGCATTAAATTAATTTACTTTGACCCGAGGCTTGGTGGTGATCCGAGCATGCTACAGAACAAAAAAAATGATTTATCTAGCTTAATTAATTGAAGTGCATTGTGTCTTTTATAATATATTACCCATATGATCTGTACACACATGTATATATAAAATATAATAAATGAGCCAAACGAAATATTTTACATAAATGTCACTCGTTTGCTCCGCTTATGCATCGTCTTATGCAGAGAAAAACGATGGTCCAGTTCAAATTTCATCTGTTTATATCACCGTAGCGACGGTAACTAAAGTCACATATGAATGTGACGCGTGGTCGCGAATGTGTTGAAACACTTAAAGCCTGATCGTTTGAAGTTCAAACATGGAAATTGCTTTTATTTAAGGAAGCAAGATTTTGTGCACCTTGAAAATAATTGATTTTATGAAATTTTATGAAACCGCAAAGAAAAAATATGAATGAAATAGCGATAATATGATAAAAAAAAACGGTTCCAAAAAGAAAATGCTGCAAACAAAATTTCTTTAGAAAATTTGATATAACGATTATAATATACGGGATAATATAAGAATTTTGCCTGAAATGCTTAATGTGCAACGTAATATAATTAAATAACAAATTCAAGGCACAAAAAGATTTAATATCTTACGATCATCAATAAAATATTAGAGTTATTTATATATTTATTTCGTAAATTAAAGATTTAATGATCAATAAATTTGTTCACAAATGTAATAAAATGTATAAAAAAATATAATATAATAGTCGATACTATAATAGTCGAACGCAGATTGAATTGCTCTCTTCACTCGATGAAATAGTTCATTGTTAATATCTAAATTTCACGCTAGTTAATGAATTCATTCATCGAAACAATAACCTTGTATTTACTCTCTACTCCATCAATTAATTCATAAAAATGTGAATACCTATGCATACAGAGTTACCGGCAATTGTCGTTTTTAACTTGATTTTCCAGTGCATATGACGATGGTTAGAACTGAACCCAGTATACGCAGAATATATGTGGAGTACATGTAAATGAACGACACACGATGGCTACGAATCAAAGAAGCAACAAGACCAATAAGTTCTTGCCACCGGCTATACGCATCGCACGACCATGTGCGGTAACAATTTCACGAGCGGTATTGGAAGTTCAAGAATGATTCCTTGGGTCTTGTGAACAACGCAACAGATAATCGGTGCGTTTCCAGAGCGCGTAATACATAGATGGAACTAAGAGATCGCGCGAGAAGCACGCGGAGCCTAACTATTACATAACAATAGAATTCGTAAGTGCATTACACTTGATGGCGGTGCGTCGCGATATAGAGCAACGAATTGCTGACGACCGACGATTGGCAGCCAAAGCATACTGCGCTATCACAAAGTAACAAAACTTCGAACACTAACATTTCCAAATTTCCTGATCGAACATAATTTTATATTTTTTATTATACTCCAACACATTTTCATAGTAAATAAACAATGTACACAATATTAATGTTGCTCGATTTCCTTC